AAGCCCTATGTAGCTTAGTGACGGTGTGCACATCCTGGACTGCTTACTCCCAGATGACTGTCTGGAACTTGGGGTCATTTTCACAGGAAGTTTTTTTGGAACTGCTTACCTTCAGAGGTAAGCTGACGGATGGAGACCCAAGAGATAAAGCATTTCACTGGCAGCACCTGCCTCCGGAAGTTTTGTGTGGTGCCAAACCTGGGGCCCTTTTGGTGCCAGGTTAACACCTTTTTATTTGCTCAGGGCTTTTATATGTCTTTCTAAAATCTCTGCTTAGCTCTGGATTTATCTTGTTTTAACATCAGTTTTGTTGTTCTGATGTTTTTAGTTTTGTTATAGCATTTCTATTTTTATCTGAACTGTTTTAATTATTGTTTTCACCATTAGTCGTTCTGGGAATTCTAAAGGGAAAGGGAAAGGGAAAGGGACCCCTGACCATTAGGTCCAGTCGTGACTGACTCTGGGGTTGCAGCGCTCATCTGGCTTTATTGGCCGAGGGAGCCGGCGTACAGCTTCCGGGTCATGTGGCCAGCATGACTAAGCCGCTTCTAGTGAACCAGAGCAGCACATGAAACGCCGTTTACCTTCCCGCCGGAGCGGTATCTATTTATCTACTTGCACTGGCGTGCTTTCGAACTGCTAGGTTGGCAGGAGCAGGGACCGAGCAACGGGAGCTCACTCCATTGTGGGGATTCAAACCGCCGACCTTCTGATCAGCAAGTCCTAGGCTCTGTGGTTTAACCCACAGCGCCACCCGCCTCCCTCTGGGAATCCTAAGGGGTTGCAAAATGGGCTAAAAACATTCCAGACAAACCAATGAACAAGACCGTAGGAATTTTCTGGGGTAAACAAAAATACATGTAGGCCTTATTGAATTTTTAATTTGGGGCTATGTATGTCCTTTTATTTCTGAAAAGTAGCATTTATATCTGCAATTATATACCTAATCATTTTGCACAAACTAGATTTAGCTCTGGAGTAGATTTGAACCCAATTCACAAAGAAGCCGTGGTTAGGTTTATTTGGCTCCTTATTTATTTAGTACTTACTGTATTCTGACTCAGAAAAGCATGTTATTTGGACAGATCCCTGTGGCATACGCCAATGCCCACCATGAAATAAACACCAGCATTTAATATTACAGAAATATGCCACCTTATTAATGACACCTGGGAAGGATTTGAGCTCCCCATGACTGGCATTTGTTTCTCATTGACTATGCATCAAATGTAGGAGTGAAGAAGGAGAGGGGGCAGCTGTTCAGCCATACAAAAGAAGGAATGGGCTGATTCTCTTTGGTAGAGGATTCACCCACTGGGTCTAAAACAGCATCTCCCCCACCTTCAATGGAGAACATTTGCATTCAGGTCTCAGCTCCAGTCCCTTGTGAGTGTGAACTTCCTGGCATCAGGACCAGCCTTCCTTTGTGTATGTGGTGCCTAGCAATCTCCCCTAATTGAAGCTTCTGTGAGAAATTGCAATAATAGATGCAAACAAAACACACTGCTGAGGGCAAGCAATTGTGAGGGTGTACTGCCAAACGGAAGCCTCAGAGATCAGCTCCACACAGGATATGGCTTGTCTTTGAGAACAAAGTAACAGAGATGCATCAGGGGTGCCAGGTTGCAACCTAGAGAACCTGTCTGTTGGCTTAAAGTTTCCCATGCAGTGAGAGGAGAGACCATCTCTCTGAAGGACCACAGCTCAGTTTGATATTTTGCATGCAGAAGGTTCCAAGTTCACTGTTATCTAAAGTTTGAAAAAATCATTATGATGGGAAGACTTTTGACTGGAACCCTGGGGAACTGCCATATCAGAGGAGACAATACTAGATGGCAGGGGCGTAGCAAAGGGGGTGTGGTAGGTGTGGTCCGCTCCGGGTGTCCCCACTGCTGGGGGTGATAAAATGGCAGCACTCACTGCGGGGCCTGCAGCATGCCCAAGGCATGCGTCTCTCCTGGGAGTGACGCAGTGGCTTGAGCTCCCGCAGCCTCTGCGCTGTCCCAAACAGTCTGCCCGTTGCCTCCCCCTCAGCTGTAGGGTGGCTGAGTGGGAGGAGGCAGACAGACTCCTTATAGCAGCCTTTCTCAACATTTGGGTCCCAGAGCTCAGGGATGATGGGAGTTGTAGTCCAACAACATCTGGGGACCCACAGGTTAAGAATCGCTGCCTTAGAGGCCCCGCGGTGCCCCTGTGGGTGGCTGGCCCAGCACCCCCAGGCCCCCAATCGGCTTGCTCCGCTGCTGCTAGATGGACCAATATTGTATAGCGTAACATCATCTATTAATTCATCATCTATTAATACACACACAGCCCTGTCGTCTGCCTTCTGTCTGCTTTCATATGCAACATTATGTACCAGGAGTCATGGGGAGACAGGTGACAGGACTTTTAGTGCCCATAGCAGACAAATTTAAAGCGCTACATAACCTTAAGCTCCAAAGATGGCCTGAGTTGCCCACCCAATGGACATTGCTCCATAGTGAGCCAACAACATCCCTGTTCAGGTGATTTTCCTGAGCATGACTGTCCAACTCATCTAAGGGATAAGCCTCACTCCAAACATCCCCTTGGGCTTTTTAGTTTAGATAAAAGGCAAGTAAGCGGTCACATGGCAAAAATGTATAAAATTAGGCACTGCAAGGAGAAAGTGGATAGATAAAAAGGTTTTCTCCCTCTCGCATAACACTGGAACTCGTGGACATCCAATGAAACTGCGTGTTGGAAGATTCAGAACAGATTTTTAAAAATGCTTCTTCGCACAGAACATAGTTAAACTGTGGAGCAGGAGGCAGTGATGGCCATGAACTTGGATGGCTTTAAATGGGGATCAAACAAATCAATGGAGGATAAAGCTATCAGTGGCTACTAGCTATGATGGCTAGACCCTGCCTCCGTGGCCAGAGGCAGTATCCGTCTGAATGCCAATTGCTGGAAATTCAAGGAGGGGAGCGTTGGTTCAAGAAAAAACACAGGCATATCATAGAATTGAAGAGTTGGAAGGTACCTTAAGGGTCATCTAGTCCAACTCCCTGCAATTCAGGAACTTTTACTCATATTAGATCCACCTAAACCTAAGGAACCTAAGTTATTAATAGCCATTAATCTCCTTGAATAAAAGTTAGTTGAATACAAGCCCATCACAGCTATGTAGGATCCCAGACATGACTATTGCATAGATGAAAAGCAGACTGGGCTCCTGCACCTTTAATAATTGTGTAGAAAGAGGGAACCTCAGCCGGTGTAGTTTGTCATGCAAGGTTGATAGCAAGCATGACAGGCAGTTCTGGCTAGGGTGCTCAGATGCAAGAGAGCTCCTGCACCTTTAATTGTTGCATAGAAGCAGGAATTGCAGAAGCTGTAGCCTTCTATGCAAACCACACCTGCTGACATTCCCTCTTCTATGCAACAATTAAAGGTGCAAGACCCCTGTGTGCTGTTGCATCTGGCCATGCTAGTCTTGGCTGCCCCACTGAGATCAATGAAAGTTAGAGCCTAGCTTCTATCCGCTCTGCTTCACATCTGCAGTAGCTCAGGCCTCTTTCACAGCAGTCTTTGATTAACATATCTGTGTGGTGACCAGAGTACTTATACAGGTGCAGCGTATCTCAATTCTGCAAGTCAAGTTGACCTGCCAAAAACCCTGTGCAAGCACCTCCATTCTTCTTTGTCCTTGGTAAGGTGTTGGTCCATAAGGGGGAAAAACCAGCCCCATCTACAGTAAGGCAAGATCTTTATTGGCAAGAACCAAAGTTTCACAGAAATGTGGCAAGCTTTTGAATTCTCCAGAACTCTTCGTCAGGCAAGATGTTACACAAAGTGGGGGGATGACGACAAAGAGTACAAAAACCAGGCTGACGTAATAATAGCCATGAGATCAACTGTTCAAGCTGTCTGCAAAGAAGGTGGGACTGTCTAGTGTGACAGGCAATGAAAGCTCCTGGGTGTTTCTTGAAACTGGACTTCCGAAAGCCATGACTAAGAGCCTACTCTATAAAACAGGAAGCCCCTGGACTCAGAACTAAATCCCAGAGAGGGTGCAAAATGCATCTTTTCAGGCAGCTAGTATTTGATTTAATTAGATGATCACTTGCCTGGGGTGTTTAATGTTACCGTTTTCGCAGGGCAGCTTTTTGGGTGCGAGTGTATTGGTCCGTCTGCTTTTGTGTGCTGCCTTTGAGAGTGTGAAAAGGTGGCTGGCAGTATAAACAACAAAGGAATATGCTGTAGTACGGAGGATCCTATGGTGACCAGCTACAAAGCAGAACAGGGTGGCCTTCAGCCAGTCTCTTAGCTGAATCCACCTCACAGGGTTGTTGTGAGAATAAAACGGGGAGGAGAACTGTGTGCACCACCTCGAGTTCCTTGGAGGGAAGGTGGGAAACAAATTTATAAATAAATGAAAACAGAGTTCTCCCTACCCCTCTTAAGAGCCATGTATTAGCTAGTGCAGCTTGCTATCCATGCACGACAAGACTCTTCATATTAACGCTCTCTCTCCTGTACAAAAAGGATTACCTCCGACAGATATTTCCTTCGGGAGTGACAGGGTCAGGGCACCGCTGGATCTGGATGGACAATTAGTATTGCACCCTTAGCTGGTTCCTATCTGGGTGCCCCCTCCAAAAAAACAAGAAAAAAGTCTCGCACCCTTCGGTACCACGGTGGAGGCATTTTCACACGGACCCTCAGACATGGCGGTTCCTCGTCGGTGCCTGCGTTGCGAACCAGCGTCCATTGCGGATAACCCAGTTTCCTTTCCCCCTCCGTGTCTCTTTAAAGCGCGGAGCAGAAGTTCCCCCTCCGAATCCCTCCCGCCTGCCTCCCTCGCTGCTCTCCCATCATCGCCCTGACGTCAGGAGGAGGGAGGCGTGTGGGTGCCGCGGCCTCCCCCATGTTTAAAATTCGCCAGAAGGCTGCCAGTGAAGAGGGAGGAGGAGAGCGAGCAGGGAGCGGAGCGAGCAGAAGCCTGGCAGCAGAAGGAGCGCCGCTGGCCGCAAGGTAACTTCCTCCGCGGGCGCGCAGGGATGCTTTGTGAATTGGCGCCGGAGCGGGAGGAAGGGGACAGATGGGAGAGGCCACGCCGAGGAGGCGCGAGGAAGGTGATGGAGCCGGCTGCCGAATGGTCTCGCGTGGGGTGGCTCGCTTAACTCTTTTGTGTCGGGTCTCCCGGGTGGGGAGAGAAGGTCCTCTGGCGCTGGGAGCGGAGAGGCGTGTCCCCTCCGTGCGCGCCGGGCGATTTCAGCTGGGGGTGAATGGCTGTGGGGAAGGGTGTTTTCCGTGCAGGTGGTGATGGCGAATAGCTGCCTGCCTGTTTGGTAGCTTTACTTTGCAGCCGAAGGCAAGGCTGGGGTCGCCTTTCTCGTCTGCTATTCCAAGGGGTGAGGGATCTGGTCAGGAAGACGTGTGTGTGTGTGTGTGTGTGTGTGTGTGTGTGTGTAAATCTGCTTTGGCACCTAACAAGTTATAATGGACACGCCAGCAAGTCAAAGATAGGACTCATGCGAAAGCAATAATTGAAGCTTAGTGATAGTCCTATTAAAACAACAACACCTAAAGTAGTATTTGGTTTGCATGGCTTTTGATGAAGCCACCAGAAGGTGCTATGGTGGTTTGGAGTCCCCACCCCTTTTTTGGTCCTGCCTTTCTCGCTGGCTGCCTTTCTTCTTTTCTCTCTCTCCCACCCCCACCCAAATATCTTGTTTCCCAGTTCCAAGGATGCTTCTGTATTCAGATCATAAAGATGGCACTTGAATCTCATTGGATAATCGGCCTCTTGTATATGTGACTGCTTAACCAGAGCTCCACCAGAGGGATGAGACGGACTGTTTTTAGATAAGGGGATTGAGGCCTTGAAGAATGTAACCCAGGGTTTTTTTTATTAGTTATTTAAAATTTATTTCTTGCTGTAGTTCTTTTTCACCAAAGAGGTGTCTGTCTGGAAATGAATGAGTTGATTAATGTTCTCAATTGCATGACATTATCATCACCAGTCTTGGAAGGAAATAGGCTTTTATGAGCATTGGCTAGATAGCCTTTGTATGGTTGTTTTTTTTAAAAACCCTGCTAGATACAAGTCTATGGAGAACAGTATAAGAGAGAGAATAAATGTAACCTGTAACCTGGAAATCTGTAACATGGAGGAAAGGCTTCAAACCCTCTTTATGAATGTGGTTTATTTAAGTATTTCTGGCTGCTTGTAGTCTGTTAAGAATAGTCAATATGTTATAGCAAACCTCTTGGGCGGTGTGCTTTTAAGATGGGCATCTTAAAAATGGTACTCTGTTTAATTCTATAACTATGGGCCTAATAAACTAGTTGTGGTACAAAATCACATTTACTAGTTCATGTGTATGGCCCCAGTGCATGTACAAACTGCATGTGTGGTCAGGGACTATACTTTGTTTCTAGGATGGGGCATACACAACCTTTTGGATGTTGGAGTGCAAGTCCTATCATCCCTGGCTGTGGTGAATGGGAGTTAAGAGTCCAGCAATATCTCAAGGCCACAGGTTCATCTTCCCTATTTTGGGGTTTGTGGTTCCATGTACAATCTGTATATCCATAGGGATTGTATGGTCTAGTACATGAAAATTGGGAGTGGGCATTGACGCCACAATCCGGCGGCTCCTTTTGTGCCCATTTGCTGTCTGCACAGTCATCATGTGAAAAGCCTTCTGGCCTGGTGAGTCCATGGCAAAAGCAAGAACATGGGAACTTCCTGTTCTGGAGCTCAGCATGTGCATACATTGACCGCTTACTCCAGCTTACTCCCACTGCTGTTGTTTGAAGCAGAGTACACATGTAATTAGTCACAATCCATAGGCATCCTGTAGCTTCTTGAGAAATACTTCTGTCTGACGTGCTTTCTCTCAAACCAGCTTCCAGTCAATTAGAAAATGGAAGTTGTGGCTAGACTGAGGAGTTGTACATTTCAGGCAGCTGTTGAGCATGTGACAGCATCCAGGAACTGGAGTTAGGTGCAGGGAAGACAAAATCAGGCGATGCACATTGGGTGAAGAAGGCATCCTCACCTTTTTCTCAGGAGTGAAAAGCAATATTAAAAAATGACTTGAAAAGTAGGGGGGGGGGACATGACCTTGACGAGTTTCAAGCTGCTAATGTGGACATGGGCAGGGGGGGCACCTGCCCCCCCAATTAATAAAAATACATAGCTGAGATTCTGCCCCCTTAACAAAAGACTCCCCCGCTCAAATCCTGGCTACGTCCACATAGCCTCAGTCTCTTAGCCTCTGGCTCTGCCCAGATCTATAACCACAATTTAAATTGCAAGCCTGTCTGAGTAGGACAGAGCAACACTGTCTGCCTACATAAGTTTGGGGTCAGTCTATTTCTGGAGGCTTACAAGCCAGAAAGCGTATTTTGTTTTCTATCTCCTTTATGGGCTCTCTCTCTCTAAAGTTTTAGGTGTGGCTATATATGGGAAGGTGCTAAGAATAAGTATGTGTGTTTATTTGGTGGAAAGGGAGAGGCTTCCACAAACCCCCTGCATAAATGAACACTCAGTTCTTGCCTTAAGAAAAATAGCAAATTTATGATGTCTTGCATAGAATACTGAGGACACTTGATGGATACCAAGAGCCTAATGTGTATCTCTGAAGGGGGCAGACACTGGAAAGACTTCAATAGATTTCCACTTAAAAATGCAATGAGGATAACTAGTTTAGGATGCAATGCTGGAAGTAAGTTCAGAAGGAACACCACAGTGGGGTTGCATCTAAATACTGTAGATGTGTATAGCAGGGATGAGCAATCTGTGGCCTTTGGTCTAATTTAATGTGGCCCTTAGTCTAATTTAATAGTGGCAAGGAGGAGAAAATGAAGAAAGGAGTGATAGAGACACACAAAATGGGTGGGAGGAGCTCTGGCCCCTTTCACTTTTTGTTCCAGCCCTCCCAGCTTCTGGCACTGAAATTTCACTGATGGTATGTGGCCAGTGACAGATTACTCCAAGGGAACATGGCCCTCAATGGGAAGAAATATTCCACACCTTTGATGCATAGGAGTATATGGTTAGCCTCTGAGAAAGAAGATGGGAATATTTTGGGTGAGAGAAGGCCCTCTTTTAAACTCAGATTTTGTGTGAGTATATGTACACACACTTGTTTCAAAAGAACGTATGCATCGATACACCACTCTTGCACCTTAGTATTAGATCGGGGGTCAGGGGTGGTTCTGAGCAACGAAACTTGAGTGTGCTTTCTGGCAGTTGGATTCCCTTCAGTCTGACAAGATATTTCAGGTATGTAAAAAGGAGAATTATGGGATTTAAAGATGAGGGGCCTGAGAGGAAAGAAGAGATTGGTCTGCGGGACAGCTTATGTTAATCAAATGTGTATGTAGTAGCTTAGCGAAAAGTGCCATCTGAGAGATTTGCTCTGCCTGCTGCAGTGGTGGCAGGGCTGGAGAGAGTCTGGGGCTGTTCTCTATGTAAGGCACTTCCACTGGGACTAAGGAGGAGGAGGAGGAAGAGCAGTGTTAGAAACTGGGATAGAAAAACTAGGAGCCAAATGGCTTCTGGGACCTGGGTTGTTGGGTGCCAAAACAGAATGTCTAGTTGCCAAACTAGGGAGGGGGGTTGGCAATACTTTTTATTTATTATTTTGATAAGCATGAACTAATACACAATTCACATAAGTTACACATTATTCACACCACATTTTTAGCAGAAGTTGTTAATGCATGTTTAATTTGGTGTTTACAATATTGCCTATGTTAACAAACACTTCGAGGCTTCAGATCACATGTTGTTGTTTAGTCGTTTAGTCATGTCCGACTCTTCGTGACCCCATGGACCAGAGCACGCCAGGCACTCCTGTCTTCCACCGCCTCCCGCAGTTTGGTCAGGCTCATGTTTGTAGCTTCGAAAACATACATTTCAGTAATTCTTGAGTGTCAGCCAGGCGCAAAAAATGGCACCCAGACTTTTTGAGGTGCTCACAAATGGAGAATCTTTAGGAGCAAAATACACCTAGCACCCTTGCTAATTTTGAACCTGGAGGAGAAGGAGGAGGTTGTCGGCTGCTGTCACCCAGTGGACTGGTTGTAAGTAAGAAGATTGGGGCACTGGCTTGAGAGTAGGCTGAGGTGGGCAGGGCAATGCCTAACTTGCCCTAATGGACTAATCTCTAATACTAGCTAGCCTGTCCTATGGGCTGGGAAGCATCTTGCAGAGTTCAGCAGCCTCTCTTCAGCCTGAGCATTACTGCTTTGGAATGCTGAATTGAAAGTAAAGTAAAATAAACCCAATAAATCAAATTGCATTTAAGAATAATCTGAAAATGATGCTTTATTATTTATTATGGCAAAAGCTTTTGTAGACCACAGTCCTGTATATCAGGTACATGAAGAGTTGCAGTCCTATAGGCACAGGGCTAGGGGATTTCAAAAAATAGTTGCTAACACCGACATCAAGGCATTAGTAAGCCAATTATGTGTAGTGTAGCTAGAAAAACCTTTGTCTTGATTAAACCTCAAGTTGTAGCACTGAATGTTTTATTAGCAGTTTTACACGCAGTCTCTCTTCTGAAGTTCCTTTGTTTCAGTATGGCCACCTTAAGGTCAGGTACAGAGTGTCCTGTCAGGATGAAGCTTTCCTCCCACTGATTTTATTTATTTATTGCCATTTCTGATGTTAGATTTGTGTCCATTCCTTTGTGCAGAGAGTGGCTTGTTTTGCTATGCGCCGTCTGCAGGAGGGCATTGTCTTTAGACGATGGTATTTATCTAATGGGAAGATAAGCAAGAGAATGAGCCTGATGTCGTTGTGGATGGCTTCAGTAGGTTTGGCCATAGTGTGGCTAGGTAGACAATGGGACAGAGCTGGCATCTGGGTCTGCTGTTCCTATAAAATGATACAACAAAAAATCACCTTCACAGAACATTTCGTGTTTTGAAGTGTAAGCTGTTGAACAGCTGATGCAGAATGCTGCAGTTCTGTGCTGCCTTTTGGATGGCTTGTTGCATCTATTTTCTCCAAGGCCATCGATTGCCAAGGGGATAACTTCTGCAGTTTGTTTTCGTGAAGTGGTTTGTAGCTGGATTGCAGTCACGATGCAGAAATCTGCTTCACCATATTTGA